CAGCTTTTGGTCTAAAAGAGACAGCAAGTCCATCTGGTTGGCTGGGGTGTAATATTTCTATGACATCAGGTTCTTTCCTTAGAGAAAAAGAAAGTGTTTTTGCTTCTCTATCCCCACAGCCATCATCTGATTAAAGCTCCTCTTTGGAGACAGCAAAAAATAAAGCAGATGAGATTCACTTTTGCAAGTAGAGCCCAAAACCCCGACAAAGTAAAATCCCCAACAGAAGAAAAACTCCCAAAAAGAAATATGAAAAACCCCAAGTGACCCCAGCTTTACCAGAGAAACATTTAGATGGTTACAGAATATTCTCTGGGGGAAAAAGTGACTGACTTGTACCGAAGGGACCTGGGTTTATCTGAGAAATAGCGAGAAACCTTCAGGGAGCTGGGGATGCTCTGGGAAGGAAAACCACCCAGAAATGTTTTATCGACTCCCCTGTGCAAACCCAGACAGATAATCTGCAGGAACAAGAACCAGCTGCCAAATGAGAGCCTGGAGAGCTGCACGTCACCTGGAGGGGCCGAGGGGAGGACCAGGGGAGAAGATGCTGGAGGAGAACAGGCTGAGCTCCTGCATGTCCATGGCACACACATGGCTCAGAGCTGGGCTGAGAAGCTCCCAGAGCAGCTGGGAGGCACAAACATCCCCGTCAGCCAACCAAAGGGTCTCTGTGGCCACCCAAGGAGCCCATGGCACAGCCTGACAGTGTGCTGGGAGCAAGCGAGAGACATCAAGAGCATCTCTGCTGGTAAAGCAAGTGTGTCCTGAGCCACGGGCATGTGTGTGGGTTCAAGAGCGATGCTTGCCCAGAGCAGAGCTGGACACAGCTTTGGGAACTGCTGTGCTGGCTGTTGGCCACCACTCTGCCCAGGCACGAGCCATCTCCTGACACAGGAGCTGGGGAGTCAGAAAATCAGACCAACCCAGTTCTTCTAGGAGAAGAAACCGGGCCTCTGGAGATGCCTGGTGTATCTGGACAGCTCGGGAGCTTCTTGTGGATTATTTACCCTGCTCTGCATGCTGCCAACCAAAATAAATCAATTCAGCTTTTGCTTCCATTTTAGGAAAATAAATCCTCTGGGACGGGACGGGAGCTGGTGCCCTGTGAGGAGCCACATGCTCGCCTAGCCCAGCCCCGGTGGGGTCTAAACCAGCGCTCAGAAGCTGCTCAGCCCAGTGGCCCACGCCTGTCCCTCTGCCTTGCCGAGGGTTGGTGGTGCCATCAGAGCCCCTGTGGCTTCCTCAGCAACTCAGGACACGGCCAAGAGGTTTATTCAGCCTCCTGCAGACCGAGCCTCCTACTGCTGAGCTCTCCCAGGGCTTGGGTGACCTTATCCTTATCTCTTCACGTCCTTCGGCCGGTTTGGGCAGCCGGTCTGCCGAGGCTGGTTTCCCATGACGCAGCCCCCTTATCTCCTGGCGCTGCATTCCCAGTCCCAGGCCCTCCCCACCAGCCCATCCCAGCTCCTGCAGCCCCAGGAATCGCTGGTTGTGCTGTAGGGGGGAGCATCACTGCTGCAAAGAAGCTAGAAAAACCTTTCCCTCAACAAAAAGGCAGCACAAACCACCTGCATCTCCCTGCAGCTGCTCAGGAGAGCTTTGCTGGGGCTTAGGGCTGAGTTTGCAAGCTCACAGTCCTGAGATGCATCAAGAGCTGCTGGATCTCCACGCTGAGCCCCAACCCCAGCATCTCCTCTCCCCGGAGCAGACACACTCCTCTCGCTCCAGCTGCTGCCCGGCAGCGAGGTATGTGCTGGCACCAAGGGCAACAAAGGGCTTAATGCAAATTGCCCGGCATCTGACTGCTTAATTACACCAGCCCCTTTCAGATGTGATTGTCTATTTTATCAGAACTGACTTCTTAGAATGAAAGAAAGAAAATCTTTCCAACATCTGCTCCTCTCCCAGCCCCAGCCAGGGGCAAGGCCCGGTGCCAGCAGCATCAGTGTTGCTGTGAGAACAGGGCTTGAAAGGCCTGATCAGGATGGTTCCTCCACCTCCTTCAGAGCTAAAAGTCATTTGGCTTTGAATGATGTGGAGACTGGTAAGTCTAACGCCGCTCCAGAAGGAAAAATAAGGGAGTATAGAGGTGTCACTGGGGCTGGGGTGCCCTGTGCAAGGTGAATTTCTGATCAACACAGTCCTTCTCCCATGTGTGAGAGGGGTCCCAAAATGCACAGCCCCGGGTCTCAGTCCCTCCCGAGCCCCCTCGGGGTCAGACCCACGGGAAACCCTCTCCTCCCTGCCTGGAGGATGCTCGCCCACAGCCACATCCCACACCCGACATCTCCCAGCTAGAGCTGATATTAAGCTATAACCCGTAATGTGTTATGACACCGCCTGGTGCAGTGTAATTGCTATAAACCCATGAAATGTAATGTAATCGGCGGAGTGGCCATTAGAGCCTTGTGTTACAGGTCTAATGGCTTCAATCCGTCAGCTCCCACACAGGCTGAGGATGTGCAGCTCCCCACTGGCCCCGCTCTGCAGCACCCTGGTACCCCAGAAAGGCACCTTTCCCACCCCATCCTCCCCAGGCACAGGGGGAGATGCTGCTGCAGAAACACTCTCGTATTTCCAAGCTTATTTTTCCATTTGCAGAAACACCAGTAGGAATTACTTTCTTTTTTTTTTTTTTTTTTTAAAGCCTCCTTCACTTTAATAATCAGGTCATACTTAAAAAGAGAAAGCAAATCTCCACTTACAATTATTTCATTAGTATTTGATACTCCAGACAATACAACAGCTTGAGAAGCCGCTGGCTGCACGGGTCCAGGCACACTGCCTGGGTAAGAGGTCCTTAGCTGCTAATTGCTGGTGCCAGCCTCAGCCATTAAGAAATTATTGCTAATGCAGCTTACAACAGTTTTTATAAGGCCTTATTAAGGGATTCATCAGAAAGCAGAATCAAATAAAACAGAAAATGATTGAAGAAGGAAAAAAAATATATATAAATTTACCCCATCCTCTGCCCGCATCCTTACCTGTGCTGCTGCCCCGAAGCTGAGCCTGCCCTTGCCCCAACTCTAGGGCAGCTGCAGCCAGGGACCTCCCCATATACCCTGGGGTGGGAGAGGGGCTCAGCTGTGGCTGATTGCCCCTGCAGAGCCACAGCTGGTCCCCTGCTCTGGGGAGCCATGCCCTGCCCCTCGTGGGGTACACGGTAAGGGCTGCTGTGGGGTCCAGCAGCTCCATCCGGGGAGCAGCCTGCGGGTCACCCCAGGGACACACAAGCTTCCCCTTGGAGACACAGGATTCCCCTGGGGTCCTTCCCATGAACACTGAGGGGATGTGGTGCTGGGGGAAAAATTGGGGTTTGGCTTGGGGGATGTTTTTTTTCTGAAAAAAACCCCATAAACTTTCTTTGAAGGGTGAGGAAGAGGAGGGAGAATTTGTGCTGGGGAGGTGCCACCCATGGGGCACGATGGCTCCAAGTGGCACAAGGACATGAGGCTGGAGCTGGGACTCATGACATTTTTGCTTTCCATCCTGGTGTCAGGTATTACATTTAGAGGATTGTATTTTATTCATAAAAAACGCTGCTCTCTCAGCTGCCCCTGGCAGAGCTGTCGTGGCTGAGCCTGGGGCTGGCTCCCGCCGATGGGCAGGGGCTGTTGTCCATCACCTGGGTGTCCAGGCTCCGTAACAACTGCTGAAAATTCAATATAATCTATAAAAGCAGGGTGAGAGCCCCCAGCTCCTCTCCGTGACCTGGAGTGCCGGGGTTGGCAGCACGTGATGGGCTGTTGTTGGTAACCGCATCCCAATGAGCCGGAGAGGAGCATGTGAGGTTGTATTTTTAACTCCGATGTCCTGGTGACATGGAAAACCGGCTGCCTGCTCCAGGTGCCACACAGATCGATGGAAAATCTCCTGCCACCCATCGGCACCTCTGCTTTTGCCAACCCCGGGCATTGCAGCGTGTTAACAAATCCTACCCAGTGCTTCACCCTCGGGAATGGTTTTAAGGCCATTTCCAGAGCCCATCAGGAACCATTTGCTGGTACCTCCGTGGGGGACTTAGCTGGGAAGTGCTTCCCTGTGGAGCTGCCGGTGGGGAGCTGGACATGGGGATGATGCAAGCCCAACTTTCCCAGCTCAGAGGCTGATTTAGCATCCCTGAGATGGAAAAAACATTTGCAACCCCTCAAGAGGGTAAGGAAAGGATGAGCCTCACCAAGCTTGGTGCCTCCCCGGCACAGTGTTAGCCAGGACTCACCCATTTAAAGGCTGCAGAAAAGGCTCAAGCAGGTGTTTCATCCACCCTTCAGTGCAAACACATCTCCCTTCCCCTGGTCCCCATGGGGAGGACCCCATGCTGGGCCGGGAGGTGGCACACGGTGGTGTCCCCCCTCGTCCCCACTTCCCTCCCGCAGCCCTGCGCCCACCTCGCCGGGCTCAGCCGAGACAAGCAGAGGCTAAGAACATCGACTGGGTTTTATTCCTCAGGTCTGACAAGTAAAAGCACAAATTCTCTTTGGAAAAAAAAAAGAAATGAAGAAAAAAACCAAAAAACCAAAAAACAAACCCAAAAACCAATGTTCAAACCACACGGACGGGTTGCATTTCTCAGGACGGAGGCCGTGCCGTCAAGCTCCGCCGCCGGACGCGTGACTTTTGCAGAGATGTAGTTTTTTTTTAAAAAAAAAAACAAACAAAAAAACAACCCACAGAGGAGGAAAAGACACAGGGATTCCATGACAATTTTAGAGAAAAAAGGGCCCTTTTTTTTTTTTGGCTATTGTTTTAAATATCTCATCCGAGCGACTCAGAGCAAAAAATAACCGTAATGAGTACATCCCTTCTTGTTGGCCCCATGGGCACACAATCTCTACCGGCCCCTCAGACGGCTACAAGCCCTTGGGGACGGTGGCCCGGCACCCGGCTCTCAGCCGGTGTCCCCGCGGGGTGGCGGGTGCTGCCGTCCCTGCGAGCGGCACCCGTCACCCTTGCCGGAGGCTGTCCGGACGCCGCGCCGCGG